ATATCATGTAAGTATTTATTAAATGTATATTTAATCAAAATATTTAAGTTTTACTTAATATATTGTGATGTTTGTTTAACAGAGTGTTTTAGTGGCGTCTGTAGATTTTAAAATTACTCAAGGATGGGATTTGTACAAAATTGTTTTGGATGCAGCAATTAACCACTTAAAAACAGATCCATTGCAAATGTATGTTAAATGGTGTGTTGCTACTTGGCCATTAAGTAGTAAAGAACCATTGATTAAGTTACTTCTATGGAACTATACGTTGGTAAATATACTAAATAACATTTTAAAATAGGACAGATGTTTTAAATAAAATATAAATTGTTTTTAAATTTGTTAAGGCTTTTAATGAATCATTTGTCAATCATGAAACACTTGGAAAATGGGTAATACAAGAGACCAGATTAACAACACAATGGGTACCTTCTATTGCACGCAGTAGATCTCTTATACTAGATAATAGTTTTAAAAGTGGTCCAACCATGTTATTGTTTACACCCCATAACCCTTATTTGGATTTTAACCCAATTTATTCAATGGTAATCAATATTGTTTTGGTTGTATGGAGATTAATAGTAAAGCAAATTTTATGTTTTAGCTTCAATTACTGAGTATTGAATACTTCAACTGTCAGAAAGTTTCTATACCAGCAAGCTATATCACAAAATATTTAATAAAAGAAATAAAATGTTCGTAAATAATTCTATTACTTAAAATAGATATCTTAGGTTTTGATGTAATTTAATTATTAAACTAAAGATTATATTTTTTAGCATTTTATAATAAGCGACCAGCATATGTGAAACAATGTCAAGAGATAATAATGAATAAGTATCCTGATAAGATGGCCAGTATTCTTAAAAAACATAACGCTACAATTAAAGTAGAAAATCAAGATAATTTTAACTTTGATACAAGCACAGAAGTTAATTATTTTAATAAAGCTCTATGTAAAATGTCTAAAAGTATATTTTTTGATCATAAAATAAGTTATTGTTCAAATGATTTGGATAAGTCTAGTAAGAAAATGTAAGATGTTCTATTTTTTTAAATATAGACAATCACCTTTAATTTTTGTTTTTGATTAGAGCTAAAATTAACTTATCAAATCACATGAGTACAGAGAACTTTGTTGAACAATTAAAAGAAACCAAATGTTACAGAAATTTACTTGCTAACAAATATTTTAGGCAAGTATCAATGATAATATATATTTTATATGCAAACTTATTTATAATTTTAAATTATAAAAATATAATTATGTTTTAATTTTAATGTATGTATTCATCTATAGATTTTCCAGACCTGATGAAGCTTTTATATATAACACTACTGATGCATTAAGATCAGCGTGCTTAGTAAACAAAAGTATGACATTTCTAGCTTTGGATTCAAATCATCATTATCATACTGCAAAAGTTTTTGGCATAAACTTAAACCATTATCGTGAAAAAACTGCAGTTGTGATTTATGATATGAAGGTATTTTTTGATATATTATATTGAAAAATTAAATATACAACAAATTGTTTGTGCTTAAAATATGTCCCAACATGAATTTTCTCTAGAACATATGATCTCTAATTTTGTATTGATAGTTTCTGATTTCCAGTTCAAGTAAATGTGAGAGTTACTTAGAATGTATTTAAGTTGAGATTAATTAATTTTTTTCTCATGTGAAATAATTGTTATTTCATAATTTTATTGATTTAATTATAGTTATCGTTTTTTTATTACTATATATATGTTCCACTATTTGTGCATTTTCTCATTCAAAATTTGTGAAAACTATCTGCTATAGGATGATATTTGTTATAATAGGTTTTAGTGTAGATACAAAAATAAAATTTAAAACTAAAAAGAGAAATGTATTGGTTTATTGATGGTATTATTTTTGGTAGGAATTCATTACAACTTTATAAATTGAAAAGAGTTGTTATAATTTCTTTAAAACTAAGGAAAAATAACTAAAAATTGTCAATCACTTCAAAATTAGTTTTAGTATTGTAAAAACTAGGCTTTGTACTTAGAATTTCTTACAAATTTTATATCACTACATACCCAACATGTCTGAATATGATTAATAAAGTGATGAAAACAGTTTTTAATATAATAGTAAGTTCCACTTTTATTATAACTTCTTATACCACTACAATATGTTTAAATATATTTAGTTCTTTTATTGAGATATTAATAAATAATTAAATTAATAATAACATTTATTTATATCAATATTGAAAATAAAAGAGATTAATAACTTTCACATAATATGTCTGTCTGTTAGTAAATATAATATTTTCTAAACATCCATATTAAAATGTAGTTATGTATAACTAACTATATAACTAATTAAATATGGTTTTTTTAATCTTAAATAAGAAAATAAAACTAAAGTATTAAAAAAAAAAAAAAAAATTATTACCCTTAAATTAGTTTATTAACAGTAAAATCAGTTTTTAAGATATGTTTATTAATTATTATTAATAATGTTTATATTGCTGTAATATGAATGACCAATGAGCTTTAATAATAAGTACTACAAACCCATGTTTTATTTATATTTAATTTCAATTTTTTGTAAAAATTAAAAAACAAAATTACTACTAGTATGTTTATTCATATAATTAGTACACAAGAACTGATTTAAGCTTCAAATAAACATTAAAAATGATAGAAATAAAACTATAATTAAGGTTTTTTTTTGAACTAGTAAAAAAAAAACTAAAACCCTTTTATTTTCTTTGTGTGGGATGATTTTAATTTATTTATTTTAAAACTAACTCAGTGATTAATAAGATGATTTTGTATTAGAATAAGGTAGATTCTTTTTAAGAATGATTTTTCCCTATTTTTTGAATAGTGTGAGGTTTATGAGATAATATAGTTTATAGAAAGTAAGAAATTTGGTCTTAAAATCGGAAGTATATTAGGTTTTTTTCTAATTAAGATCAAATACAATGAGTCTTGGAATAACTTTATAAATATGTCTTTTTTAGTAGGTTTTTTAAGACAAGTTATGTCCAAGTACTTTTTTGTAAAGTAATTATTTACTTATAAATATTATTTCAGAAGTTGTATGATTAGCTGAGCAAAACATTGGAAAAGGTTGGTTTATTAAGTTTTCTATTGAATAGGATTATTCATTGTTTATGACCATGTACTATTGATTTGGACGTTTTCTCCATATTTATTAGAATGTTAGTTTTTTCTTTATCATATATAACAAGAAAATTATTTACATTTCTAAATGGAAGTATGGTGTGTTTAACAATGATTTAAAAATCTCTAATGATTTTAGATTCCGTGGATAGATTTTTAATAAAAAAAAATTTTCTTTATTCCTATCTCAATATTTTATGTTGTTACTTGTTAGAGAGGGACTACGTAAAACTGATTTTTATCTGAGTTATATTTTTAAGAATAGAATAGATATTGTAATTGCAAGAAATCTTTATATACTTATAACTACTCAATCAGTATTAATCAAAAAACTATGAAACAATTCAAATAATATTTTTATACAGAAACTTCAATCTTATAGTTATATTATATTCAATATTTACTATTAGTAAATCATTTTATTTGATTTTAAAAATTAATTATGTTCGTAATGTGTAATATATTTTGTATCTTATTTTGTCACTTATCTAATACGTTATTTTTAAATAAGTGTTTCATTGAGCGTTACTTATAAGCAATTTCTTAAAAGTCCCTTCAATGTCTTACTTATTCTTAGTATATATTATAGCTTATTTTGCATTTTTTCTATAGATTTAAAATAATAATAATAATAATATGCCTTAATTTTTAATAACTAAGTGACTTAAATTTTTTTTAATGTTTGTTTTTCTAGTCAGAAATGGTTCATACATTACCAAAATCTAGTCATGTTACAAAAGATACAATGGCTAAATTATTAATAGATTTTCTTGAAAACCGGGCTAAACGACATTTACGATCATCCGCTGACCTTGATATTAATTTTCATTTGTATCAAGGAAAAGGGGAAGACAAAGAAACAATATACATTAAAACATTAAATTCTGAAACATTTAATGATGCTGTTTTTAACAACACTGACGTAATATTTACTAATTATTTATAATATTTATATTCAAATAAATTGTTATATTTTTTTTTCTTTTATAGAATGTTGTAGTGTACTTTTACACTCCATTTTGTGCGTATTGTCAAGTTGTTGCACATGTGTTACTAAGTGTTGCTCGTTTAATGCGAAATGTCAAAGATCTCAAATTTTTTCGTTTCAATGCTAGCGATAATGATTTAAGTTGGCATTTGACTGTACAAACATATCCTTCAATTATAATTTTTCCTGCTAAAAAGTATTATTAGTCATCTTATTTTCATTAGAAAAAACTTTTAATACATTTTATTTTTTGGTTTATTTAGGAAAGCTGAAAGTTATGTATTTCCATATAATACTGAATTGACATCAAATAACTTGTCTCAGTTTATTCTATCTAATCTATTACTAGAAACTCGGTTACAAGCTATGGTTGGTTTATGTTCAGTATGGAATTCATCTGAAGTAGTATTGAATTAATTTAAATATATGAAGTAGGTATTATATTATTTATGTTTTTTTAGGATTACAATAAACAACTGCATTACTGTCTTCGAGATATTAAACTTGACTGTGACGCAAACATTTCAAAATCACTTCAATCGTACCGCAGAGGTCTTGTATACAGAGAAAAAAATAAAAATATCACATTAACACCTATCTTTAATAGATTAAGGTATTTAAAAGCTTTCAGCCTCATTTTAGATGTTACTCATAAACTTAATGCCAAATCAATTCAAAAGTTTTCTGAAATTTATAACTTTTAATAGTTTAAGTATACTTATTGTTATCTTAAACTTTGGTTATTGTTAATTTAAAACTTTAAAGCATTTGTTATATTTATGTTTACATTTCTTGTGTGTTATAGGTTTAATTGTAAACAAACTGTGATAATGTTATATGATAAAAAATTATTTATTTTATTAAATAAAAGTTGACAAATTGGGTATTCAATTCATTTTTATTTTTTTTTTTTACTATTTTCTTTGGTGTTGATGTATGATCTTAGTATACTGGTGCTGGTTTTTGTGTAGGCAGAAGTCCAAATCTTTCCTTAATTCGAATCCGTTCTTTAGAATGTTGATCAGTTGGTGTAAATCGGGCTAATACAATTTAAAGGATTTTTATTAAACATAATTTTTAATAAAAATAATAATGATAAAAGATTTACCTGGATGAGCGCTTAAAGTTTGGTTGCCAGCAGGATCCACTTTCTAGAATTAAATGAAAACGTATTAATTGTAAAAGGGTTATAAAAAAATAGTATGCCATGTTTTACGTAAATCAAGTCGTAAGACTAGGTAAATTATTTATGCTGTATTATTCAAATAATTCATAACCATAAGGTTTGAAAAAATAAATATTTCCACAATTACGACCAGCCTATCCACCGACTATTAAGTATAATTAAATCTAATTCATTATCAAAATAGAAACATATACGCTACCTTTAAAGTGTAAACCCGAGTACCTTCTTCACTGCGATAATATCTCAAAAGCATTTTGAAGATTTATTTTCAAGCTTCGATATTATAAAGGTACAAAAAGTATTATCCTAACTTGTTTTGCTTATTGTTCACACTTTACTTTTTAGTTCTTACGTTATCAAGTTATGAGAGTCAATCACGTGGTCAATGTAAACTGAAAAGTAAAGTTGTTGAAGATCAGCGTGTTGAGTAAGTCCTATCGGTTATCACAAGATAAATTATTCAGATCTTTTCCATAATAACCATGGTTGCAGTTGATCGGATCACTATAACCATACAATAACTAGGTTCACACTATACCGTGTCGTGTATTTTACCCATATTTTACCGCACAGTGTCGTGTTGTATCATGGACTACCATTATATACCACGAATAAATTCTGTCTTCAATTGTTATCAAAACTAGGTATAATCTTCGCGGTTTTTTTTTATCAGATATGAAATTAATATTAAATTTAAATTTAATAAAATGTACAAATTCTCTTTGTTTTTAAGTTTTAAGTTTTAACTAAAAATGAACCAGATACTTAAAAGACGTCGTATTTAGATGACGTCATTGAGTACATAAGAGGCGAATTTGTATTATTTCCAGTTTTATATATCTTTTGGAAAATAGTTTAAAATCTGAGAAAAAGTAAGTTGATAATTATATGATGTATAATATTGGTTAATTAACACATTTGTATTTATTAAAGATGGTATGTACGGCCAATGCTATGTGAACGTTCAAATCTTGGCCATTTTAACACAATGTTAAAAGAACATCAGCTTTCAAATTCTTTTTTATTTTTTTATTTTACGAGAATGTCATCCTCAACTTTTGAAGATCTTTTAATAATAGTGGGTTCTAGTCTTCAACGTTCACCTTCAAGGCCGATATTTTATCTGTTGGAAAAATTGTTGGTCCCACATTAAGGTTGATTGTTATAATGCTTATAGAATTTTAATAAGTAGTTTTTTATGTATAAAAGTTTTACAATATTATATATTTTTGTTTAATTACAGATATTTAGCCACTGGTGAAAGTATGGTTGATATTATGTTCAACTTTCGGATTGAAAAATCAACAATTTCTAAATTAGTATTTGATTGTTGTACTGCTATTTGGGATAAATTAAAAGATGAGGTAGCATAACAAATACATTTTTATATTATAAATAATTATGTTTTGTATTATAATGAGGTTTATTGAATTTTCATTTTAGGTATTATTTAAACCAAATGTAGATGGCTGGTTAAAAATTTCCAAAGAATTTGAATCTAAATGGCAAATGCCTCATTGTGTTGGAACTTTAGATGGGAAGCATGTAATACATTAAGTATGTAATAATTTGAAAGTTTATATTATCTGTTTTAACTATAATATGACATGTATTTTAGGCATTTTCAAAAAGTGGTTCTGTTAATTTTAATCATAAGGGGAGCCATAGTACTATTCTTATGGCACTATGTGATGCTAATTGTAATTTTACCTGTGTCAATATTGGAATGCCAGGTAGATGTAGTGATGGTGAAGTGTTTAAAGCTAGTGAAATGGGCAAGAAAATTTTGAACAACACATTGAATTTTCCTAAATTATCTGCTATTAGTGTGAATTATACCAGTATACCCTATTATATTGTGGCAGATGAAGCATTTCCACTTCATACTTATCCAAGACGTGGAAAATCAAAACTTCCTATGAAAGAAGCAATTTTTAACTACAGGTATTTTATGTATAATATATATTATATAATAATTTCATTTAAATATATAATATTAAATAAAGTATGAAATATATTATGTAAATTCTATTAAATGCAAAAAAATATTTTATTTCAGATTGAGTAGAGCACGTCATTGCATTGAAAATACATTTGGTATTCTAGTCTCTAGGTGGAGAATATATAAAAGAGTTATAATTGCTAGTGAAAATACTATAGATAGTATAATTAAAGCTACTGTGGTGTTGCATAATTTTGTCAAAAATAGAGAAACTGATTCAGGTTAAATATATAATGATTAATAAATAATAAATAATAAATCAAATTATTAAAAAAAAAAAACATATTACAGACAGGTAGTAAAATATGTTGTAGGTACCTAATAATATAACTAGATACGATTTAATTTGTAAATTGTATTTTTTTGATAGTGTAAATATATAATGAAAATTATATGCATATATTTTTTTAATCTTTTTTATGTATTAATTTTATTTATTTATTTTCAAATATTACAATTTAATCAGTTAGCTGTAGTAAAACATAAGAACCTACCTTCAATAATATTCATCTATATAACATTCTATCTATTAAATACTTTATTCAACATGTTAAAAAATAAGAATTACTATTACCTATACAATTAAAACATTCCAAAGTATAATTCTATATTATTTGTGTACAAAAAATTACATAGACAACTCAACTCACCCACCTCTAATTAAAGGTGTTGCAAGCACTACACCTCTATTATAGGATTTTTATTACCTATATTATATATTTATGTATATATGTTGTATCTATGTCCTATATTTAAAATATTTTAACTTTACATTAAATAATAAATATACATATATTGCAGGTATACATTCATATTATGTACATCCAGATGAAAACCAACACCAAAGGGTTAATAGTTCTAAATTATGTTTAGTTCCTGTTGGACAAATGGGATCTAACTTCTACGATAGAGATGCCAGAGAGATACGGTCACAGTTAACTGATTATTTTTCAACGGAAGGTTCTGTGGCATTTCAATACTTGAACATTTAAGTTTAATAGTTTAGAATGTAATAACATATTTTTTAATATACAACTAAAAGCTTATAGTTACTGTAGATAAAATTAAAACAACTTTTAATAACAGTTAAAATAAATATTTCATTTATTTTTAACATATGTACAGGTACTTAGTCTAATCAGTTCATAAGTTTCTTTCTTTGGATGTAGATTTATAAATATATAATAATAAGTATATTTAATTAATTTTATTTAGTTCTTCAATGACCATGGCTATAATATTTCCATGTAATTTTATTTTTTGTGGTCTTGGTATTTCTGACATGATACTTGCTAAATATGAACTAAATTTATGATCATCAGTAGTTTCGAGTTCACGGGCCAAATTCTTTGATTCAGTTGGAATAATGGGTCTATTATGTTTCAATTCATCAAGCAGAGATCCCATGTAATTTTCAATTGTAATTTCTGTTAAAGTTACAATTTTACAAATTATTACCAAGAATATTTTTTTGATAAAAACAAATTACTTTTAGACTGTTTTAGTGGAGGAATTGATTCATTTATTGAACTAGTTGATGCTGGACTAATGTTATCTGTAGTGCTATGAAAAATATAATATTTAAAATGTTGATATGAGCAGATTATTATTTTAATAAAACATAAAATACATACCGTTTTTGAACCAATAATACATCATCTAAAAATTGTAAGCTTTTAAAATGTTCCCAAAGTTTTTTGTTACCACCTGCACTTGATTTTTTTCCCTTGTATACCTTTCTTTAATGTATTTTCAGGTACTTTTTAAATTTTTTAAAGCATATTTACCTATAAATATAATATTATATTTAAAGAGAATATTTAATAATTATTAAATACATTATATTAATAAAAGTAGGGAAAGTAGTGTTGTAATTTATTTTATTCAACTATTTTACTATTAAATTGGCTAAAAACTTCATTCCACATATTATTTTTTATATTATCTGATCTTTCACCGAGTGATAATCTATGATCCCAAAGTGGTCTACTAGTTTCTATCATAGCAATTAATTTTGAAATATCTTCTTTACCAACTCCATAATTTTTAGTGGCGTTTGTACTACTTGAAGTATTAAGTTTATCTATATTAATAAATTATACTAATAATAATAAATAGGTAATTACAAAGAATAAACCACTAATAAATTCAATTTTAACTATAATAATCAATTAATTGATTAACCTAACCAGATTTAATAGACGTTTTTACTATAGAATCTTCATTTAAAAGATCATCAAATAAACTTTTCTTAGAAACAATTCTTTTTGGTATCTCCGTAAATATAATATTTGCCTGTGGTAAAAATTTATAAATTAGTAAATTAAGGAATATTTAGATATACTTATTATACCTTCTAAGCAAATGTGTTCTTTGCCATCATTCATTACAAACTTTTTACATTGATTGCACAATCGTCCCTTTTAATACAATGAAATTAAATAATTTATAATTAATATAATATAATAATATAAAGAAAATAGACGATGTTCAGTGTTAGTAAATTTTTTGGTAATAAGTAAAAGTTGTGAAAAGATCAATGCTATAGTAATAGCTAGGTACTATAAAAAATTAGGCACTTACTGTTACAAATGACATAGTTAAATAGAGTAATTAGGCCTTTTCAGTAAATAATGATTATGAATAATAAATATGTTATTGCACTATTTATATTCTAAAATATTTATTCATAAAATAATAATAATTAGTATAATATTATAATTATTATAAAACTAATTAATTAGTACTAACTATTTAAAATAAATTTATAAAAAATGGTAATATCGTGAAAAGTATCTACTTAGTGTTCAGTACTTCAGTATTAACTTGGTAGTTTAGTACATATGAACATTTGATTAATGAATAATGATTAGGATGTACTGAATACTGATGTATTATTAAATATTTTACTTATATCGTAATTCCCAAATTCCCAATTAATCTTTTTTTGAATATAATTATATGTGATAATTTATTATCACTATTAAAAACAGTAACCACACGTTGAAAAGTTGGATAAATTCAACTTCACGGTATATGAGGTTATCTCGTGGTAACCGTAGTTGAAACCGTAAAAATAGTAGTATTAACTATATTATACCGCATGGTTGGACCAATAAGAGAATGGTATTATTTCACGACACAACACGACACGGTATAGTGTGAACACGGCTTAATCAATATTTTATAGTTGGTGTTGAAAACGCGGGCAGTGTTACGGTGTGACCAACATGCAACAGTACTTCAATAGTTTCACCAACAAGTAATAATTGGTAGTGGTGATGGTTGCGGCGGCGGTGATGGTATTTGGAGGAGGGTAGTAGTGGTTTTGGTGGTAATGGTGGTGGTGGTGGTAGCGGCTGCGGCAGACTGAGGGCTGA